TTTCAGTACTCTTACGTGTGTGCCCAGACAGAAAAATTGCTGGGTCATTCAGAAACCAAATGTTCAACTTTCTGAGGACCTGCTAGGCTGTTTTCCAAAGTGGCCACTCTGTGTTACATCCTCACCAGCAAGGGCTGTTGTTTCCACTTCTTCTGTGTCCTCATTTGTGCTTGTTACAATATTTTTGATTATAACCTGTTGTAGTGAGTGTGAATCGGTTTCTCCTAGTGATTTTGACATGATTTCAATTACAGCTAATGATATTGAACATCGTTTCATTGTGCTTATTGGCCATTTGTATATTTTCCTTGAAAAACTCTTTTCAGATCCTTTATTCAATTTTTAATTGAGTTGTATTTTATTGTTGAGTTGTAGGATTTCTTTTTTTTTTTTTTGGAGATACAAATTCCTTATCAGATAAATGATTTGAAAAAATTTTCTTCTGTGTGTTGTTTTTTCACTTTCTGGATGGTGTCCATTGAAGCAAAGATTTAAATTTTGGTGAACTCCAGTTTATCTCTGTTTTCTTTGTTCCTAGTGCTTTTGGGGTAATATTTAATATCTGAGGTATTTTACTTAAACTTTTATATATAAGAAACAAAATTCTTAGGACCGTTCTAGAAGACGGGTGCTGTTGTTGTCCCCAGTCTATGGATAGGAGACTGAGATGCAGAAAATTTCACTGACATATCGGTTTCCCAGCTACCCAGTGCTGTGGGAGTTCAGCCCTTCATGTTTGTACCCAGCATCTGTGTTCTTCACCACCATGCTCCACTCCTTCCTGGAATCGTTAATGAAAAACTCTTTCCTTTTTTGATTTCTTGTTAGTTTGTTTTCTCATTGGGGACCTCATTTCCTCATTTTCCTTGCAAAGATCAATGTAGTTTTATTTTAGGTCTCATGTAGGCAGAAGCATTGCTATCAGTTAACTTCTTTATTACTCACTCTCCAGTGATGATTGTTGCTAGTTGACTTAATCAAGTCATGCTTAACTCTTTCCTGCTCATGACACTAAAAACAGAGTCATGACTTACAGAATGTTCAAAAAAGAAAGCACTTGATTGATTTTATTTTGCTAACCAATCAAACCAATCAAATAAAAACCCCGGTGTTGACACAGACTATAAACCCTCCAGAATAGGGTCACTGTCTTCCTTGTGTTTCATTTGTTTGGTCACAGTGTCTGGATAGTGCCTTGCTGCCCAGCAGTTTTGTTAGGATACGGTGCTCGTGAATCATTGTAAGGACAGAATTTTGACAACAGACTGTGTTGTTCATTTCATGAGGGAAAAGATATTATAGAAATACTGCTCAGATTTATTTTAAAACTAAGTTTAGAATTTTGAGAAGAGTTCAAGGAACCATGCAAAGATTTTTTCACTAATTTTAGATCTATCTTAGACGCATTATGGTTACAGAGCAGACTAATTTATCAACTAGATTTGACAATAGGAGTGTATTACTGACTATTTGTTTCAGTTGAAGTATTCTACCTGGGATAAAGTAATCAATGCACATAAATGGACAAATATATTTGTATTTCTATGCAATATGGGAGCAGACTTCATATGTTAGTATATAATATATATGATTGTCTGTTTTAATCTGTCAGTGTTTTTATAGTTTTTCAGCCATGACTTAAATTTATAATTCTTCTAAGAAATCACCCCCAATTCAAGTGCAGTTTGCACTGTGTATCCTGTCTTATGCATTGGATTCCACGGTCCCCTCAGTGAGGAATTTCCTCTCCTACTGAGTTAGTAGCAGAGATAAATGAACTGTGATTTCTAGGCCTTTGCTCTACATGTGTTGGCAGTTGGCGGTCAATCACGATTTTCCCTTCCTTGAGTTTTCATTTTTCAATTAGAATTTTTGAAAATAACTATTAATATGTTGCAACGGTCTCCCTAGAAACTTGATGTGTTTGTGCTTTTCAGTTTTAAATTTATGAAAAATGTAAATTCACTTTTGTTTTTAAGTAGCCCTTTTTCGCTAGATATTTGTTTACCTCTTTGTAGTTAAAATATTTTTTTCCCAATGAATGAATCGGTGTGCATGTTTTAAATGATATCTTACTTTTTATTTCTCTTATTTTAACAGTAATATTCATTGCAGAGAATTTAGGAAATAAAGATAAACACAATAATAAGTTAAAAATGGCCTCTAATCTCAACTGGAGATATAGTTGTAAGGTTTGAAATTGAGAATTACAAGTCCTCTCAAGTTGTTCTTCTTTTTCAAGTACGTTTTGGTTACTGAGACACTCGAATTCCCATATGAATTGTAGCAGCATCTAGTCAGTTTCTGCAGAGGAGCCCACTGGGATTGTGATCAAGACCACATTGAACATACAGATAGTTCTGGGGATCATTTGCATTCCAAGAGCACTGTCTTCTGAT